CGTGGACAAATCATAAATTTAATTTTAGTTTATTTAAGGTCTTAGCTGTTAAATAATTTATTTTTCATTCGATCGTAATTATAGTCGTATAGTTAATTTTTCCTACTACTGTAGATTTCCGTGGACAAATCGTAAATTTTATTTTAGTTTATTTAAAGCTTTAACCAATAAAATTCCCCTGTCCGAAGCGGCTCGTGATTACGATCACTTCATTCATAGATAAGGTGTTATTAGTTTATTTTACATCTTAAACATTCATTTGCGTAAGTCTCCGTTATTTCAAGAGAACTAAAATAGTATCATTCCCCTGTCTGAAGCGGCTCGTGATTACGATCACTTCATTCAGAGAAAATGTATTATCCCGGTTATTAGTTTATTTTACTTCTGAAACACTCATTTGCGTAAGTCTCCGTTATTTTCAGTGAAATTAAATAGTATCATTCCCCTGTCTGATGCAGCTCGTGATTACGATCACTTCATTTAGAGGTAACGTGCTATCCCGGTTATTAGTTTATTTTACGTAAGATTTCGTTATTTTAAGTGAACTTAAATAGTATCATTCCCCTGTCTGAAGCGGCTCGTGATTACGATCACTTCATTCAGACATAATGTACTATCCCGGTTGTTAATTGGTTTTACTTTCCAACCACTAGTTTGAGTAAACGTCTTATAGAGTCCCGGTTTCAGCCCTGGAATTAGTACTGTCCCGAACCTGTCTCCTCGCATTCTCTGCAACCGTATATGAAATTTTGCTTTGCCGACGCATTTAATTATTTGATTGTAAATACCGATTAGACAATTTAACAGTTAATTTTTCCTACGACCGTAAATATTATTTTCTGTAGAAAAATAATAAATTACATTTTTAGTTTGTTTAACGATTAAACTGTTAAATAGGTAATTTTTCCTGCGTCCGTAAAAAATCTAATAGTAAATTTTTTCTACGACCGAATTAATATTTCTCCTGTACGAAATAGCAAGTTACATTTTTAGCTCAACAACCGAATAGACAGTTCAATAATAAACTTTTGCTGCGACCATGATTACTACAATTATTGATTTCATTTTTTTTTTACGTCTGATTGAGGCTATTCGGAAGTAATTTCCGGCCGTCTTGTTTGTTTATTAGGGTTTGTACATATTACCGTGAGGGTGGGCGTTGAAATACAATAATTTATTTCTTTTTTTGTTGTAAATAGTTTAAAACAATATATGTCAATGTTAACTTGCCGTATTACTGGTTATTAATTCCTTACTTTATTTCCCCCTTGTATTTCAGCTAGTGATAAATTCTGTATCAGCCCAAGCAACGATTAAAGCCCGTCAGTTCTTTAGTTCGGTGTTTGGCATCATAATTCTTACCTATTCCTTTTACCCTTTCCATCTCCGTTTTTAAGCAAGACTCTTTAGAATTTACAATTTCTTCTAGCTTTTCAGGTAAAATAGGCAACATAGTTTTTATTTTTCGATTCATTAACAATTCCTACATTTTACGATTTCCTGATTTCCTGTATGTATAAAATTAAGCACTTCGAACTGAAGACATGATGGAATTATTATTCGGCTACCTTTTAATAATATATTTTCACCTAGGCTTATATCGTTACGATATTGAAAATATGGCAATAATTCTGGGGATATCTTATGTTTTTCAGGCCAACCAGAATTTGAAAAATGTTTGAATTTTTTACAAATCACATCGGAATTTTGAACGGAAATAATTTTCTTCAAAAAACAGTCTTTAACTGGTAGTGACTTAACAATAAGTTTAACGTGTGCTTCCACTTCAGAAGATAATTCTTCACTAAGTGATGTACTTTTTAAGGGGTTTTTCGAGAGAGCATCAGCTACTACTAAATATTTTCCTGGAGTGTAAATAACCTGATAATCGCAACGCATAAGTCGAATTCTATATCTTTGAAGCCTTGGAGTAAGCTCATCAAGATGTTTTGATTGTATAATTTGAAGCAGTGGCTTATGGTCTGTTTCTAAAATAATAGGTATATCAATAAAATATTCTTGGAGATGCTCACAAGCCCAAGCTAATGCTAAAGCTTCTTTCTCGAATTGAGCATAACGGATCTCTGTAGGTGTTAAGATTCTGGACCCATAAGCTACTAATTCTCTCTGGTTATTATTTTCCTCCATTAAAGCACAAACCAAACCATAAGATGAAGAATCAGCACTAACTATAATTTTCTTAGTATAATCAAAAAATGACAGACAAGGAGTTTTAGTAAGTAACTTTTTTATAATTGTAAATGCATTTTGTTGATGAATATCCCAGAAGCTAACATCGTTTTTTAATAAACTAGAAATTGGCTCTAAAATTTCAGATTTATTGGGAATAAACTGAGAAGCGAAACTAATCATGCAAAGAAGTTGCTGGACTTCTTTTTTACAAATAGGAGCTGGAAAATCTATTATAGATTGAACACGATATGGATCTATTTCTACCCCTGATCCTGAAACCACATGACCAAGAAAATATATTTTATTTACCCCAATTTGACACTTAGACTCATTAAGAGTAACACCTTCTTTTTCTAAGAGAGTAAGAACTTCACGTAGTATAGTGTCATGCTCTTTTACTATGGATGCATAAATAAGTATGTCATCGATCTGCGATATGACACCCTGTAATCCAGAAAAAAGTTTTGAAAATTTCGAAGAGAAAAACTCAGGTGCACATGAGATACCAAACGGTAACCGCTTAAAAAGGAATCTACCGAAAGGACAGATAAATGTAGTGAGGGGTTGAGAGAGTTTATTCAAACGTAGTCGATAAAAACTAAGATTGGCATCCAATTTTGAGAAAATAGAGGAGCCGCGGCTTATTTAAAGAACTTTCAACTTTAGGGATAGGAAAATGTGCCCGTAAAACTGCTTTGTTGAGTTCTGTGTAGTCCCCACATATCCTAACTGAATCACCTTTTGGAACGACTACTATAGGAGAAGTCCACTCTGTATTATAATCTACAGGTTCAATAATGTCAAGTTTAATTAACTCTGCCTCAAGCTTAGGTAAAAGGGGTAATGGAACTATACGAGGCGTTGTTTGTAAAAATGGTTTTGAATCAGGTTTAATATTAGTCAATATTTCTTGTTTAAATTCACCTAGCTGATCAAAAAGTTTAGGAAATTCTTGATGAATATGTACTAAAGAAATTTTACTATTCAAATTGTTAATGTTGTTAGACTGCAACAAAGTACTTGGAAATTGTAAAATATTCAGATTTATAATGTCAGGCCGACCCAATATAGGTGTTTTTAAATCTTCAATAATATACACAACGCTAGAATGTTTGATATTATTATACCCTAAAATTAGTTTTGTTGTACCTTTAAGATGTTTACCATCTGTGCCAGATATAATTTCTGTACAAGGTAAAAATGGAACAGTTTTATCAAAATTTTCAATTTGTATATTAACAAACCAAGGTGAGTTATTACTTAAATTTAAAATATTTATTTGTCCCAAAAACTATTCTTGGTCCATGTTAATTTGATGTTCTATACTAATGGATTTTACTTCTTTTCCACTAAAACCGGCACTTCTGCATACTTTATCCCAGTGGCCCTTTCTTGAGCAGCGACGACACTTTCCATTTCTTGCAGGACATGCCTCACGTTGGTGATAGCTAAGACCACAATATTGGCATGTCTTAGAAGTATCTGTTCGAGCCTTGTAGAATGTGTTACCTCGTTTAATAGCATTCAACTGATTTTCATTACGCAAAATATTTCTTTGCTGAGCCTGCATTTCAGCTTGTTTAGATTTAAGAATTCACAATTTTCTGCCAGTGAATGCAATGTAGTTATAAAAGCGTCTACCGATTCACCTGAATGTTGAAGTGAATTAAATAGAAACCTTTCGAAAATAACATTCTTAAGAGGTATAAAATAATCCTCAAAAGTAGTTGGTTGTATAGGAAATTGCATGAGAATGTCTTCTTTTTCCTCACCCATTAAATAGAAAAATGAATTCATTTTGTCCTCCTCAGACTTACTAGGAAGACCAGAGACAGACATGTATCTCTCGTAGCGCTTAATCCAATGGGACCAACCCGCTGGGCTTGAAAAATTAAATTTGTCCGGAGGTTTAACTATTGTAACTGCTGCTCTCGCCATTTTAGGTTAGTGAAAATTTGCTGCTTGTAATGTCTAAAAAGCCTTAGGAATTACCGAAAATTAGGTTGAACTTGGCGCGAATCTGACTTGGAAAAGCAAACACAAATGTACTTATTTTACATAACTTTTACAGCTGCCACCATGTTGTGTTAGGTAGATGGACAACACTAATAATACAAATCCACATATATTTATTATTTCACAAAAGTCCATAAGAACACCTAATCGAAAATACGACATTCCACATCTCGAGCCGGTAACAAGAGTTAGGTTAGGACCATGAGTCTCTAGCCACGATGCCGGATCGCAGTGGCTAAGGTGACATAACATCTTGTAAAATATTATAATAATTATTATTGGATATTTATTATATTTTCAGATATCTGAAAATGAGATTAATCCTATTTTCTCTTAAAAGAAAACGTGGAATTATACATTCATATAAATACTCGTTAAGCTAAAAAAATTTTTATTGATGTAAGAGTTATTAGCTACAACTATTAGATTATATACGTGGATCCAATATACAATTTTTAAATTATAAATTCAAACTCTTCTCGGCGGTAAAATAACGCATGTCGGAGTAAATGTTTACGAGTTTATTTATCGCATTTACTACGGGCTTGACACGTATATCTGTCTTTGTCGGTCTGGATCTCCTCAACAATTGTTTTTTTTTTTTGGTAATTTAGGTAGCTCAATTAATAAAAATTTTTTTTGTAAAAGTTCAACTAGATGAAAATGATAAAATTTACAATAAACAAAGGATAACAAAGTCTCTTGCAATATCCAATAAACACCTATCCGCTAGTTCATTCAACAAAATTTAAAAAAATAAACGTAAAAGTAACAAAAAATGTTTTACTCACTTCTATGCGCTTTATCTGTTGGGTCCCTTCTTAAAACCACCCGTTTCTGGGCCGCCGCTGCTGTTCCCGAATCTACATCATGTATCACAATTCTTATGGCTTCTGCATCCACCGACTGTTGCCTTCTGGGTGTTGCTTCCAGATCTTCCAGGGCGGGAGTTGGTCTGGGTACCATAGGCCGAAGACCCGCTATGTCAGGTCTGGAATACAATTTTACTATTTACCATCAATTTAAAAATCAAATAAAGAGCTAATAATGGCTCTCCATACAAACAGAAGGCTGTAGGAACTTTATTAAGAAGAATGAGCTAGTGACCCAGTGACCTAGTGGCACAATAAAAAAGAAGAAGCAAACTCTCCCATCTATCGGTGATATATCATATCTCCTAACACTCGATGACAGTTACATTATATTTTTTTAATTGTATCACCTGTTCAGTGTAAATAACACTGGAATTTAGTTTTGAGAATAAAATTAAATTTTAGTATAACAATGCCTAAGAAGTTTGCGACAGAAAACAGCAAATCAGTGGCAGCAAAAGATCGAAAGAAGCAAACCAAAGAGAAGACCAACTCGAACTCGCAGAAAGAAATTGAAGATGCCTATTGGAAGGATGATAATAAACAGTTACAAAAAAAGCAAAAAAAGAAGGAAGTTGAAGAGAAGAAGAAACAAGAAGCTCTGCAACGGAAAACAGAAGCAAAAGCTATTTTGGAGAAAGAAATGAACGAAATACCTAAAAAACCTTCTAAACCAGCTCAAAAAGTAACAAGAGCCAAAATTAGCGATATAGTAGCTGCATCTTCAAAACAAGAGAAAGAAGAAAAACATATTGAAACTTATTTAGATGCTCCTGTATTTGAAAATACCAACAGGCTTGAAATTGAAGTAGAAGAAGCTAGAACTGTTGATGATGCTATTTCAATTTTAAACAGCAATCAAGATGATATTGACAAACATCCTGAAAAGAGGATGAAAGCTGCATACAAAGCTTATCAGCAAAGAAGACTCCATGAACTTAAATCTGAAAATACCGGTTTGCGTTTATCTCAATTGAAACAAATTATCTCCAAGGAATGGGAAAAATCTCCCGAAAATCCATTGAACCAATAGGTTATAAGTTGTTATTGTAAAATAATTACATTTTTATATTTGAGACCTGTTTTGTGGTTTTATATTAGTTTAAAATTTTCTGCAGTAAGTACTTACAAGTGCGATCCTCTTCTTCTAGTCCTTCTGTCTTCTTCTGGAGCTATAAGTACGGAAGGAGGACCATCTGGACTCGGAGGGCTTCCTGGTTCTGGAGGAGCAATCCTGAATGACGCTCTTCGGTTCATTCCACCTGTTGGAGCTGTCGTTACTGTACTCAAACCAGGCACAGAGAACACGTCATAGGCTGAGGCTCTGCGGGGCATAGGCGCTGGTAATACGAGGCCGTTATCTACATTGGTGTTAGGTGCTATTGAATTTTTCACCTAATAACAAAATATCATAGTCAGCAAGCGACTATATCTATTGGTGGATGATCTTAAACTTTGTGGAGGTGCACAAAATCGATACTATGTTGACGTGAAAGGAAAGTATTATTTTCATGTATATTAAAGTAATAAAAAAAGAAACTTTTATAAAAGGTTTATTTTTTACGGTTTAAAAATGATAAAAAGCTTCTAATTTAATGCTAGACTCGCTTATTATATTTTAATAAAGCTTAATGTGTCAGACATTGAAATTCTACGTGCACTAATTTTACGATTTTCCTTTTATTAATAAAATAATTTTAATAAGCTTTCTGAAACAGTGTTTTCTGAAAATAAAAAAAAAATCAGAAAAACTAATGGAGTTTTATAGCTTACAATTTTTATACACTTTTAAATTAATTCCAGTGAATTCCAGTGGTGTGCTTAATGGAAGTAACAACTTTTTTACGAGAAACTTAAATATTATGTTTATTGTTAATTTAGTTTCATGCACCATTTTTCTTAGCGAATTTATTATTTTCATAAATAAAGTAAAGTGTAAAAGTCATAATGACTAATTTATGATTTGTATTAACTATAATTAATATTAATAATAATAATAGTAACTTATTAACAAACTTAAAATGTGATGCTATCAAAAATATTGATGATTTATGATACGTTTGTGTTGCATTTTCAGTTTTCCACTTGATGAAAATAAAAGAAGAGAATAGGCCAAGAATATAAACAAGAATGAGTGGAATTCTGAAAAAAACAGTTTTTTATGTTCCATTTTACAGACAATTACTTTGATAGATCTTTCTTTTTTATCATGCTGCCAAATATTGTACCTACGATTCAAGTGACTGAGGAAGTAAGTATTTACTTACAATTATCCGTATTTGTACTGATAAAATTGGACAAAATCAATGCAATACTTGTATGCTGCCTTTAGTTTTGAAAAGTAATAAATAACTAAATCAGATAATACTGTTACGCAGCACCCTGCAGCGTGCTGCGGTCGTCATAAGTAAAGGTATGAGAAAATGAAGAAGATAGAATAGTCCACAAATGTCTCGAAATGTCATTCCTTGTCAAAGAAAAATCCGGATTGTTCGAGAAGGTTCTAGAAGGTTGAGGCAAGCTATTGTTCGAGAAGGTTCTAGAAGGTTGAGGCAAGCTATGTAAGTCGACGACCTGACGTCAGAGTTTTAGTTTTATGATAAACGTTATACGTTAATGTTATCAATTGGATAGCTATTGTCAAAGCCCTTGAACACTTTTATACTTACCTTTTTAACAGAAGATTTATTATTAGAAGTGACCATAGTGCCTTGCAGTGGCTGATGAATTTTAAAAAACCTGAAGGACAAGTTGCTAGATGGATAGAAAGACTGAAGAGACTGAAGAGACCGTATCCATAGCAATGCAGATATTCTTTACAGAAAACCCTGTTTAGAACGACAATGCCTATATTGTAAAAGGCTCGAAGAACGAGAGGAGTCAGTTGAAGAAGTTAGTCTTCAGGCGACCACCATCAAGCCGGAGGATTACGAAGACGGAGTCACCCTTGAAAGCATGAGAAAGACTTAAAAGAAAGACAATGATTTGAAGGTTGTCTGAGAATGGCTCAAAAATGGAGTCATACCTACTTGGCAAGAGATAGCTAGATATAGTGAAACTATTAAAGGGTATTGGACTCAGTGGAATTTTCTGTTTCTTCACGATGGCCTATTGCACCGGAAGCGAGAGAGCCCCGATAGAGTACATGTAGTCCACCAAGTGATATTACCGAAATTACATGTCAGAAATGTGTTGCAGGAGCTCCATAGCAGCAGTTCAGGAGGACATTTGGTACTAAAAGGACGCTGGCACGAATTCGGAAAAGATTTTATTGGGTCAATTGCCGACAAGATGTAGAAGATTGGTGTAAGAAATGTGATGTATTCAATGGCAGAAAAGGACCCAAAACGAGAAGTCGAGGTAAAATGTCACAGTATCTTTTCGGAGAGCCTTTCGAACGAATCGCCATAGATATCCGCGGACCACTTCCCTTAACAGAAAGGGGAAACACATACTTGATTGTTGTTTCGGACTATTTCTTAAAGTGGCCCGAAATAGCGCCCATTCCTAATCAGGAAGCGACGAAAGTAGCAGAAGCGTTTATGACAAACGTCATAGCGAGACATGGAGCCACAGTACGACGAAATGGTGGAAAGACACAATAGAACCATATGTAAATATCTTTCCATGTTCGTCTCTGAAAATCAAAATGACTGGGACACTTTAATTCCTCTTTTCCTACTGGCATACCGAAGTTTTGAATATAAATCGACCAGTTATACTCCATCTATGATGATTACGGGAAGGGAGATGAAACTTCCCCATGATCTTCTATTTGGAAGGCAGTCTCCTGATGAAGAAGGGGGCCATACACCTCCCACGTATATACTGAACTTAAGAGAAAGACTCGAAAAGGTATACGAATTCGCTTTTTGAGAGAGGCGTACAATCCCAGGCGCCGAAAAGGACTTTGTTCGAAACTGCAACGGAACTGGGAAGGCTCCTACACCGTTCTTAAGAAAATCAACAACCTGATCTATCGCATTCAGTTGTCAGTGAGAAGTAAGCCCAAGGTAGTTTATATTGAAAAGTTAGCGCCATACCGTGGTCCAGATCCTCCCCGTTGGCTCCAACCAGGTCCCAATAATCAAGTTATATAGAGAGGAGGGAGCAATGTTACGCAGCATCCTGCAGCGTGCTGCGGTCGTCATAAGTAAAGGTACGAGAAAATGAAGAAGAGAGAATTTGTCAGAAATGTTCGGATTGTTCGGTCGGCTACCTGACGTCAGAGTTTCAGTTTTATGATAGACGTAATACGTTAATGTTATTAATTGGATAGTTATATTAAACGTTGAATTGAGTTATTGTAAAAGTTGAATTGAAATAAATTGTGATACCAAAAACCTGCGTAACAACAAAATACACACACACACACACACACACACACACACACACACACACACACACACACACACACACACACACACACACACACACACACACACACACACACACACACACACACACACACACACACACACACACACACACACACACACACACACACACACACACACACACACACACACACACACACACACACACACACACACACACACACACACACACACACACACACACACACACACACACACACACACACACACACACACACACACACACACACACACACACACACACACACACACACACACACACACACACACACACACACACACACACACACACACACACACACACACACACACACACACACACACACACACACACACACACACACACACACACACACACACACACACACACACACACACACACACACACACACACACACACACACACACACACACACACACACACACACACACACACACACACACACACACACACACACACACACACACACACACACACACACACACACACACACACACACACACACACACACACACACACACACACACACACACACACACACACACACACACACACACACACACACACACACACACACACACACACACACACACACACACACACACACACACACACACACACACACACACACACACACACACACACACACACACACACACACACACACACACACACACACACACACACACACACACACACACACACACACACACACACACACACACACACACACACACACACACACACACACACACACACACACACACACACACACACACACACACACACACACACACACACACACACACACACACACACACACACACACACACACACACACACACACACACACACACACACACACACACACACACACACACACACACACACACACACACACACACACACACACACACACACACACACACACACACACACACACACACACACACACACACACACACACACACACACACACACACACACACACACACACACACACACACACACACACACACACACACACACACACACACACACACACACACACACACACACACACACACACACACACACACACACACACACACACACACACACACACACACACACACACACACACACACACACACACACACACACACACACACACACACACACACACACACACACACACACACACACACACACACACACACACACACACACACACACACACACACACACACACACACACACACACACACACACACACACACACACACACACACACACACACACACACACACACACACACACACACACACACACACACACACACACACACACACACACACACACACACACACACACACACACACACACACACACACACACGAAAATAGTCAAAACGGATTCAGGACTCCAAAACGTAAAAATCCGTCGAAAACTGGAGGTCGAAAAAAATCATAATTTCTTTACTTTCCTTATATCTGTATACAGATAGGAAAGTAAAAATTGATTAAAGAAACTTTGATACGAAATCGTCTATATGACGTTTAGTTTAAATTTTACGGTTTAAAATATAGCCATGTTGGCAAATGATAATGAAGATATGGAAAGATGTTTTGAATAATAAGATTGTTGAAATTCTTA